AAGGAAAAAAATAAAAAAATAAAAGAAAGAAAGAAAGAAAAGATAGATAAGAAAGAGAATAAGGAAAATTGAAAAGGGGCTCAAGACGATAATCCACAAAGATCATTTTAAATCCAAAGGAAGGATTTGAGGCGAAAATACAAAAGGGCGACTCAAATACATTTTGATATGCACCGGGTAAGTTAAACACCCACGAGAGTGATATTTTTAGAGGAACTTCACATCTACAGATATTTTGGAAGCATTTGTGTTCTTCTAGATAGAAGCTTACCTCAATGCTCCAAATTATATCAAGTTGATTGGTTCAGGAACATTCATGCAAGTGATGCTTGAGGCATTTGACTTTATTTCTTGATTTTTATCCTTTCCATGATTGCCATTACTTTGTAAAAATTCCAATTTCCTCATTTCAAGACCCAATTTTGTTTATTTACAAGCATCTTATAAGTAGATTAACATAGTTCAAAAGAAAACAAAAGGTTTCTTGGTATTACTTTAAATTAATCTTTTAAAGTGCATGAAATCCAAAGCAACCCAAAACTTTGACACTCATGTTCATTCATTAAAGAGTGTATTCCAAGGAATGCTATGTGAGCTAAATTCATGTACGCAACTACATGGGGATAACTATTTGATCCTCATAAAAAAGTCTCTCCGTGATGTTTGGATCGGGCAAATAAACAAGTTGATTTCTTGATAATGATGGAGATCTTAGAAGTTGTTGAGGATTATTCCATATCTTAGAAGTTGTTGAGGCTTATTCCACATCTTAGAAGTTGTTGAGGCTTATTCTACCTCAAATAAGAGTAATATAGGAGTAAGGGAGATATTCTCCAACCCTTGGAACAACAAAAGCCTGATAGATTATAAGACTCAAGAATAAGACTTTTCACACTTATCTGTGACATTATCAATAACCGACCAAGAAGTAGATGATCACCTTAAAAAAAGAGGGCAAGTATTGTTTTGAGAATTTTCAGTATCTCAAATCATAACAAATGTTTAGAGTATTCTTGACTAAATGTATTGATCACTTGTTTGAGCAAGTTTGAAATGAGAAGTTCTGATAATGATGTCCCAAAATCTTTATGAGTACCCACTTTGGGGCATGACCATAAACCCATATCATATTGAGGTAACAAGGTTCATACCAAGAAAACATTGAGAATGAGTCTCACACCTTGAAGTGTCAGGGGTAGACCCTAAATATGAGCAGAGCTTACCTTGTAAAGCAAACCAGTAGAGCATCAATTAACGAAAGAATCCCGGAAAAACAACTCTGATAGTGCAGTTGAGTCAAGGACAAAAATGGGCATCAAGATCATATTACTGTATGCAGCAAGAATTTAAGAAACGTCTATTTTGAGACTTGAACGCAAATATGAGGCAAGAAAGACACAAAGACATAAGATGATCAGATTGCTCTTCCAAAAACACAAGCTTGAAATCATGAGTTGCTACACTACTATATGAGTAAACCCTATAGAAGAGTGATCAAGAGAAAGAAGACTTGGTTCTTTACTTTGGAGTCAGAGAAATTTGTGTATCCATGAGAATATATCATTTGCATAAAAAAATGCATTACATTGCATTCGTATTTCACACATAAACATATGTTTTTACAGATCTTCCAATGAAAAGAATAGATTCATGATATCAAAATCCCAACAAGCGGAAGCTAGAATTCAAACCCCAAATACAGATAATCATATTTAGGGATGCAGACTCCCATATTCGATGGCTATGTCAAGTTTCCACAAGAAAAGTTGATTATCAAAGATTATCTTGAAATCCAAATCCAAAATGGGCCCCCAAGTTACAACAAACACAAGTTACAAACATCCGGCCCAAACACGGAGCTTAACAACCTAACCCGGATGAGACCCAAACCTACTATGGTATCATCCTTAACATATGATGTCGGTCACCATCAACGGTTGGATTTGTGGGAGATCCATCGATCCATATGTATTAGCAGTTAGGGTTTTGAAACCCCTCTTTATGTAGCCCATTTTGAGCTCGACCGCCCTTCAATCAATGGTCTTGATCAATTCCCGATTGAGCCTCAGATCCACCGATGTTTCCACCAGTTCCCGTCCACTGATGTTGCCACCAATCGAATCCACTGCCATGTCAGAAACAAATAAACAAGCAACCACAAACTATATCCACACGCAAGGCAACATTAATCATTGTATTTCGTTTTTTGAAAGAAAAAGAAAGAGAAAAAAATCTGTAAGAGGGTTATATAAACCCAAGGCATCCATTGTAAGAAAGGTTCTTCCTTTTCGGTTTTCCGGAAGGAAAAAAAGAAATAAAATCAGAAAAAAAAATTCAAGGTATATTTTTTGTTTTCTTTTATTCTTGGTTTCGAACAAAAAAAAGGGAATAAAAATAAAAACCTAGGTTTACGAAGCAAAATAGAAACAATGAAGGAGGTTAGATTTAGAGTTTCCTTAGAGTCGAGGATTCTAACCGGGGTCGGATCGTCTTCATCAAAGGTCGTCGGAGTGCATGAGAGTGGAAGGGTCGCGGCTTGTTTTGGGGGTAGTTTAGGGTTTTAGGTGGTTTTAGCCTTGGATATGTGTTTAGGGATATAGATCGGAGAGTTTAGAGTGTTTTTAGGTTTATTTCGGAGCTTTGGCCATCGTATGCGGTGGCCGGAGGTGGCTGACAGTAGGTCAACCAAAAAGATTTGAGAGAAAATGAGAGAAAAAGATTTTTTAAGAAAACAGTTTAAAATGAAAAAAAACAAAAAGGTATATATATAGAATAATTTAGGGGGAAATTGAGCTTAGGTCCCCCTAACTTGCTCGTGTTTTTGCATAATGGTAATGTGTAGGGATCGGTTTCATAATTTACCCATTTCTATTTATGCTTTGTATTTTTTGGTTTAATTGCTTTTTAGTCCCCTAACTTTAGCGTGTTTTTGAATGTTAGTCACTTGTAGGTACTGTTTTTGTAATTTACTCACTTTTATGTATGATTTATATTTTAGGATTATTTACTTTTTAGTCCCTATATTTATGTGTTTTTTGCATTTTAGTCATGTGTAGTGGTTGTTTACTTTTTTTAAATGCTTAGGGACTAATTTAGTAATTTCCCTTTTTTAATTTCCAATGTATATTTTAGGCTAAAAATAGAATATTTAGGAGATAGCCCATGTAGTTTCTTCATGTTTGTATTTCGAGCCCGAATATGTTTTTCAATTTTAATTTGGCCATGCAATTTTAATTTAGCCCCACATTTTATTTATTTTAATATTTTGTATTTTTAGTACACAATATTAAAAATGGTCATTTTTATTTTGACATGTTGATTGTATTGTTTATGTTTTAGTCATGTTTTTATTTTATTTTAATTTTTACATGTTGCTTGCATGTTAGTTCATTTTAGTCCTTAATTAATTTTGCATATTACCCTCATAAGCATCACTTGACTCGAATCGAAATAAATTGACTAAAGGTAATATTCGTTCATTTTAATATTTTCGTAAAGTGATTGTCTTAACATATAAGAAAGTTACTTTCGATAATTTTAAAACGAAAGTATATCCCATTTAGTGACACGAACTAAATCAAAATTGGGGGATTGGGGAAAAGATCATGTTCTTTTAATTAAATTTATCGAGAAAAGACTGTTAGATCAAATCTAAGGTTTTGTCTGGAGATATTTAAATAATTGAACATCCTTATTCTTATTAAACATTGGTAAAATAATTAATTAATTTTACTTGCTTGATATGTCTTTATTTGCTTTATTTTTGCATGTGTTTTCCGTTGGGTTTTTCGAATAATAACATTCGAATTGATATTAAGAATAATAATATCTTTCTATTTCATTTGGAGTAATGAATGATTGTTTTAAGGCATGAAAGCTCCTTTATTCTCGACTAGAAATAATTAGTTATTATCGGTTTCTTTCTTAAAAATTATTTTGTGTGTTGTTATTTTGAATTAATAATGAATTTTAGAATGAAATTTTAATATTTCTTTATTTCGATTAGAATAAGAATTGATTGCTTTAAGGTATGAGAGATCGATTCTTCTCGATAGGAAATAATTAAATATTATTATGTTTCGTCCAAAAATTCAAAGAATATTTTTTAGGGGATCTCAAATTAAACTAAGCTCGAACTCGTAAATTTCATTGCAAAGACAATTAATAAATTAACTAGGTATCGATTTAGGGCGTTGTGGGATGCTAATCATTTTCCACACGTTACCGACTCCCGAACTCGAATTTTGATAACGCATAAAGCACGTTTGTTATTTTAATTAAAATTAATATTTTATCAAAATGACAAATACCTTTTTAGGTGCTCAATCACATCATAATCAAAGATTGATATGACTCAACGAACCACGTTTTACCATTAACCGATCATTAAAAATTATTTCGAAACGAGACCATCTTTTTTTTTTCACTTCGAAAAAAAAGTCGACAATTATGTTCATTATTTTTTATGATATAATGTTATTTATTTAATATTTAATACTATAAGTTGATTTAAGCGTCCAGATCATTTTATTTCAGAAAAAAAAGCGTCGAGATCATTTAAATCGATATTAGAAGGCGTCACTAATTAGATTTTCTGTTTGGTTTTTTTATTTTCTGAATGTCTGTGTTTATTTATTTTAAATATTGTTTAAAATTATTTCATTCAAAGAAAGAAACATAAAATTATACGGAAATATTTATCATCCAGAAAATAGGAAGAGATTCATATAATTGAGGATAAAATAGGAAGAAATTGATGTGATTAATTATTTAGGAAACTATTTTATGGGATTTTAGGAATTTCACATAATTTTTAAAAAGAAAAAATATCCTAATCCTAAATTCAAAATTCAAATCCAGCCGCTTCAACGGTCATATGATCTAGGGTTTACTTCGTTTACACCTTTAAAAGGCCGCATTTCTTCACCCAAACCAAACGAATTTCTCAGTAACCAAACAAACTCTTCGTTTGTTTCTTTTACTTCGATCTTTGAAAAACAATGGATTTCCAATGCCTTACGAGGAAAGAGCTCCAGTTTCTTTGCAAGAGAAACAAAATCCCAGCTAACATCACTAACGTTGCCATGGTTGATGCTCTCAACGCTCTTGAGCTGGTAAGCCTTTTCTTTTGTTCTTTCAGATCTGCGTTTTTATCTTTGTTTCAATCTTTGAAATGCCTACTTATTTTATATCTCATGACAATCAATTTTGTGGATTTTAATTGGGTGAAAAATAATCATGTATTTCATTAATGGATTCTTTGGTCATGATTCTCATGAAATGGTTTTGTTTGGTTTCCAAGAAAACATGGGAAAAGCAATAATGCTATTGAAAAAGGAAAATGAACTTTTTTTCTCAAGAATCCGTTTACCAGATTTTAATATCAGACGAAAAATTATCATTCGCCTGGTATACCATTATTTGATTCTTTAATCAATGGAAGGGTTTTGTTTGGTTGCCAAGAAAACATGGGAAAATCAATCATCTTATTGAAAAAGAAAGAAAATGAACTCTTTTTTCAAGAATTCATTTAACCACATGAAAAATGATAATTTACTGATATCATAGTAATATTTTTTATTGTGAAAAGATTCTGTTTGGTTTCCAAGAAAACATGGGAAAAACAATCATTTTGTTTGGAAAAAAGAAACTGTGTTTTTAAGAACCCATTTAACTGATATTAATCTCAAGGAAAAATAATCGATTTCTTGAAATTAGAAAAATGTGACATTTTTCAGAGGAAAAGATTCATTTTCTGTATTAATGATTGTAACAGGTTGAAGGTTTTGAGGAGCTCCAGAATCAATCTCAGTCCCCAGAAAAGACTGTGAATAAGGAGATTCTTGGTACTGTTACCCGGACTTCAACTAGGAGAAAACCATGCAAGGATGAACATCAAAGCACACAATCAACCATCCGAACCCGAAAAACTTCAAGAAAAACAATGGACGTGGAAGAAAAAAACAAGAGCTTGAATGTGCCTGAGGTTGAGGTTAAGGATCAGAGGAAGAGTGATATAGTTGAGACTCCATTGACGAGTGGTAGGAGCAAAGTCAACGCTCAGAAAGGTTCATTTCAGCCCGCCTACGGTACAAGGCGGTCAGTGAGGTTGCTGGGGAAGAGCATGGCAGGATTGAGTATCAAGGAGAGTGAGAAAATGCCTGCAAAGGTTGATGAAATGGTAGAAGGTGAAGATGGAAGCAAAAATTGTCAATCTGGTAAGTTTATTTTTGATGAATGAATTTGAGATTCCATTTTTTGGTTTTTAAATTGATCATCTCATTTGCCGGAGTTACATTAGAACTACCTTTGGCTCGGAATTTAAGTGCATCTCTTGAAGATGAAAGGGAATTGAAAGATGATGTTGAAGAAAACAGTAAGTGTGTCAATGTAGAAACTGATGAGACTGGTGAGAAATTGATACACGAGGATGGTTCATATAGAGAAAGTAATGAGAAGACTGAACTAGAAGGTGAAGACAAGACTGCAGATGATCCTCTTGGAATCATAGATCCAAAGGGTATGAAAGCAAATTATTTTCCACTCTTTAATTTTTTCTTAAACATGCCAGTCTCTGGAATTTGTTTTTTCGAGCCATTTATAATTTTCTCTTCGGAAATGGTTGTTGTTACACTTGCAGGTTCTGATGATAATGCTGTCTCTGAAGATTCCATCAACTTAAATGAGGAATTGGTAGCTGATAAGGCTGATGATGTTGCTGTTTCCAATGATGCATGCGAGATCGAGAACTTAAATGAGAAACCGGCAGCTGATGAGACCAGGGAAGCATACGAGGAACCGGTTGTTGATGAGACTAAATCAATTGCAAATGTTGAGGATGTACCTGAAGAAGTTTCTGATCATTCTTCATCAGCAGATACGGAGGCAATGCATGATGATGTAACCATACTTCCGGAAGCGGAAGAGCATGCTGATGGACATGGTGATGTATCTCAAAACGTTTCGGTTCTCCTTGCGGAAGGTCATATGGATTCCTCAGAAGAGAAGGGGAATGAAGAATCTAATGATGATGATGCATTCCTTGGCGACTCGGACTTCAATAATGACACAGGATCTGAAAGTAAATCACTAGCTGAAGAGCAAATCACTGCTCTAAGTGTTCCAGATCTCCCTGCAGAAGTTCATATGGAATCCTCTGCAAAAAAGGGAAATGAAGAATCTAATGATGATGATGATGCGTTCCTTGGTGATTCCAACATTGATGATGACACAGGATCTGACAGCAAATCATCAGCTGATGAACTACAAGAGGAAGTTTTATGTGAACAAGAAGGTAGAAGTATTCCAACAGGTGCCTACAGCTATGAGGGCCCAAGGAATATGGTCTATGAAGAATCTGAATCATCATCATCTGATGATGACGATGATGACAGCACGGTAAATGAAGAAACTGTTGATGATGGTGATGATGACAGCACAGTAAATGAAGAAGCTGATGATGATGATGATGAGACTGATGAGGCATCATCTGAGGATTCCATGACAAAGATGGTGTCTGAAGAAGCATCGGTTGATGCAAATGTAACCGAAGCTTTATGTGAACAAAAAGGTAGAAGTATTCCAACAGGTGCCCACAGCTATGAGGGCCCAAGGAATATGGTGTATGAAGAATCTGAATTATTCGATGATGACAGCACAGTAAATGAAGAAACTGTTGATGACGGTGATGATGACAGCACAGCAAAAGAAGAATCTGCTGCTGCTGATGATGAGGCATCATCTGAGGATTCCATGACAAACAAGGTGTCTGAAGAAGCATCGGTTGATGCAAATGTAACCGAAGCGGAAACCACCCTTGTGAGTTCATTCCACAGTGGTTCCCAATCTATTGTGGATGACATAGCTCAGAAGATGGTAGAATGTGGTGGTTCCGAAGCATTAATCAATGTCTGCGTAAAGCCAGCGGAGGACTTAGCAGACAAAACTCCTGTCTCAAACAGTGAGACTATTACAACCTCAATGCCACTGTCATCGCCATCGAAAGCTCAATTTTTGCAGCTAAGTAAATCTTCAAACAAGGAACAGACAACAGTGGGCAAGGTGACCCAAGAGTCGGATAACCTTAAGAAGGAGAACATTGTGGAGAAGGAATTAGCGAAGCATAAGTTGGAAAGTTTGAGTTTAAGACAACTAAAGAAGCTAAACAAGATGTTTGACAAACTAGAGATCAGTCATAAGGTGGGGTGGTAAAATATTAGTACTTTTAAATGCTTTCAAATGCTTTATTGTTATTAATTTCGTTTTATTGTTTTGCAATTGCAGCAACCATGTGGCAAGAGCAGCAGACCAGCCTTGCAAATGTTGCCACAGAATTCGATGAAGAGTGAAGATGGTGAGAAGCAAAACTGAAACAGACATCGGTGAAGTGAGTTTGTTGGCCTTCGTTGATGGGTGCAACTAATGTTTCCTGTCTTGTGTTTTCTATTCCAATATTTTGCTAATAATGAGTCGGTCCTAAGATGTAGGAGAGACCAATTTTTGCTTATCAAATGTTTGCATTCATCTTTTATACGATTCTCTCAACCCCTTTTTTTGTTGTGCACATTTCATTATTTTGCTTGGTTGATTCTTTTTCCGCTTTGGGAGTTGGAAATTACTAAAAAGAAGAGAATCCTTCAAATGAAATGGAATCAGTGTTAATAATTGTTGTCTATCATAATACGACATTATTTAAGGGACATATTACAAATAGATGCTTATAATTTCAATATGATATTTGAATATATTTTACGAAAATACTTAATTTTAATGAAAGGGGTGATCGGGAGGGAAAAAGAGAGTAGAGGGTGAGTATCAATTTAAAAAAAATTGTTTTTTTTTTATTTTAAATTATTTGATTCCAATTATTCAAGGGGTGCACATGTAAATGCAACTGTTGAGATACTAGAAAGAATGAGTAAAGAATGCTAACGTTTCATTAATTGAAAGCAATACACCAAAGTACACATAATTAGTTGTTTATATTCAGCTCTTAGAATCAGTTATTAGCCTAACAAACTCCTTAACCATTCTAACAAACTCAACTACCATTAACAACCTCAACGGTCATATGCAATGCAACACGTGCACAATATTGCTAATATTCCTTGGTCTTCTGGTCTTGAACACAATTGCACCTTGATTTTCTCTCGAAACACTTCAAATGCTGCTTTGGACAAGGGCTTAGTAAAAAATCATCTGCAACTTGATGAGCTACAGGTACATAATTCACACACAACTGCTCAGCAGCCACCCTTTCTCGAATGAAATGCACATCAAGATCTACGTGTTTAGATTATGCATGATAAACCAGATTGGCACTCATTGCCACTGCTCATGTATTATCACACCATATCACTGATTTATCATGCTGCTTCAACCCTAGATAAGCTAACAGTGTACTCACCCAAGTGACTTCTGCTATAGCATCAGCTAAACTCTTATATTCGACCTCCATTATTGATCGAGATAAAGATTTATGTTTCTTGGAACTTCATGCAACCAAATGATTACTAAGAAACACACCATAACAAGAAATTGATTGTCGAACATTGACACTTGCACCCCAGTTAGCATATGAAAATGTTGAAATTGTCAACCCCCACAGTACCAGCAAGATAACGAAGAATACAAATGGCTTTCGCGAGGTGAATGCATAAACTGAGAGACTTTTCCAACACTAAATGCTATATCAGGTCTGCTATGACACACATATAACAATGACCCAAGAATGCTTCGATACATACTAGGATCAACAAGTAACTCACCATCCTTAGCCAATTTAGACGCAAGAACCATAGGCGTAGCACATGGTGCAGAATTCTTCATGACCGCCTTCTCCAAAAGCTCCAAAATGAACTTCTTTTGACTGAGTATCACAAGCCATTAAGTCGTTTGACTCCAATCCCTAAGAAATAACTGTGAGACCCCAAATCCTTAAGGGAAAACATGTCACGCAACATGCACACAACATCAGCAATTGCAGAAGATGACGAACCGGTAATAACAATATCATTAACGTATACCAAAATATAAACACGTTCAACACCGGCATTGGTAAAAAATAAAGAAGTATCAGCTCAAGAAACTTGAAACCCTATTTGAAAAAAATACATCTTTCAACTTGGCATGCCAATTACGGGGAGCTTGCTTCAACCCGTACAATGCTTTCTGCAGCTTACACACGAGAAGTGTACCATCAACTACCATCTGTTCAAAACCTAGAGGTTGCTGCATGAAAATTTCTTCCTTCAAATCTCCATTAAGAAAGGCTTTGTTGATATCAACATGCCTCAATTCCCAGTTATTAGACACAACAAGGAGAGAACAACATTAAGAGTTGTAAACTTCACAACAGGGCTAAAAATGTCGAGATAGTCATGTCCAGGAGCCTGAGAGAACCCCTTTGCAACAAGTCGTGCCTTATATCTATGAACTGAGCCATCTGGATTACGCTTCAGCTTGGACAACCACTTACAACCCACTGTAACTCGTCATGATGTCAACTTAACAAGCGTCCAAGTTCCATTCTTCTTTAAAGCATCAAACTCATCCTAAAATGCAATAACCCAGTTTGGAGATTGCAATGAATCACTAACCTTTGAAGGAACATCTTCATCAAAAAAACTTGAGTAAGATTTAGGCTTAAAAATACTACACTTGGTCCTTGTGAGCATCGGATGACATTTCGTGTGGGGTATATCAACTGCAGGCAAACCTTCAGTATTGACACTAGGTTCAGCAGCAACACTGTAGGAGTAAGTAAACTAGAAGACTCAATTGCAGCTTCTTCTAATGAACTGACACTATTATTTCTTGTAGGTGTAATAATGTAACCACTAGCCATACAAAGAATATCAGTACTACTAGAATGCATCGATGAACGTACCCTATAACTGCATTGAACACCAATGCCATATAGTTGTTGAATATTGATCACTGATGAGAGTTGAGAATCGTTAATATTTGCTCGTTATTTCTTCCATTTTATGGATTTATTTATGCTGATTTGGTTGTGTTATGCTTATTTTCGTGCAGGTCCTTGCTTTCCAGAAATAGTGATAAAATGGGCACATTCTACATTTTCTTATTATTTGGTCACAGCTGGAGACATGGGCACGACTCTGGGCATGACACGGTCTAACATGGCCGTATCTAGAAGGTCCAGTTAGCAGCGATTTCTAAAAGATCTACTCAACGCGCCTTTTGGAAGATGGACAAGCAGAGTTGCATTAGGAGACTAGTTTAAAGTTTGAATTTAGAAAAAAGCAATTATCTTTAGGATTATTTTATTTTAATTTCTTTGTTTATCCTTAGGCTTTGAGAGGCTATAAATACCCTCTTGGGGTAAGCCTAAACACAGATCTCATATTACAATTCTCTTATTCTTTATATTTTTATTAAAGCTTTCTCTTTTACTTTTCAAGTTTTTTCATTTTTCTCTTATTTTCAAGCTTTTTTTTATTATGCTAAGTATGACTTTTTTCGTGCTTAGCTAAATTTTTCATAATCCGAGAACTGAAGCGATGACTCAATTCCAATGGGAGAATTGAAATATGCCCTTAATATCTTCGGAATATCTCTCTCAATCTTTGCGCTTATTTTTCAAAATCAAAACAGTTTTCAAAATCAAAGATAGACTTTGGTCTAGATTGTTGTTGCGATTAAACGTGTGGGAGGAAGATTCGGCTTATAGAAAGCACATTCGACTTCCTGGGAACACACTTGGCAAGATATCTTCGCCAAGAGTGAATTGACGGTTATAGAAACAACAATTTGAGTCGGTCACCATAAACTTAAACGATAATTGATCTACGACAATTAATGTTGATTAGATCAATTTTCGAAGCCGAAATCAAAGATTGCCTTGGGTATACGGTATACAAAATAGAGTTACAGGGATAGCCCTTGTAGACAAGTAACCAAGGTGAATCCCGAAGGGAAAATCTAATTCGATGATCTAAAGGAAATTGAGTCAAAGCGAAGCTTAAGGCTGTTTTTACCATATCCATTTACAATCTTTATTTTCTTAATTTTTTTTACTTTAATTACCTTTTATTTAAACTCTTTATTACTCAATCAATTTTTACCAAACCCCCCGTTACTACTTTCACGCCTAGTTAAGCAATTCAGACAAAAAATTTATAATTTTCTAAGTCCTTGTGGAATCGACCCTTTACTACATATTTTCTTCATTTATCAATTGAGAATGAGGAATTTATTTTGACATCAAAATGACAATTGTCAAATTGGCGCTGTTGTCGGGGACTTCGCCAAAGTTACTAATTTTTTGTTTGCTTTTGATTTATGTCCAGGTCTAATTCGGGCGCATTAGTGGAATACGACCCAGAGATCGAAGCCAAAACTAGGAGACTTCATGCACAGACACATTGGAAAAGAAAGAGACAACAATCAAATTGGCCGTGACACCTACTGAACAAGAGCCTTTGTGCATTGATTTTCCCCAAGGCAAATCTCCGTACCAGTTAAAAATTGGCCTTATTCATTTCCTCCCTACATTCTTCGGATTGACAAACGAGAATCCACACAAACATCTCACATGGTCTGTTCCAACATGAGACCACAGGGAGTAACCGAGGACCAAATCAAACTTAGAGCTTTTCCTTTTTCCTTAGCCGATTGGGCTAAGGAGTGATTATTTTATCTTCCCCCTAATTCTATTGCTACATGGGCTCAAATGACTCACATTTTTCTTGACAGGTTTTTCCTAGCAGCAAAAGTAAGTGAAATACGAGGAAGAATACTTGGAATCAGACAGCTTGATGGAGAGTCACTTTATGACAACTAGGAGTGGTTTAAGAAGTTATGTGCTAATTCCCACAACATGGGATAACGGAACAAACAATCCTTCAATACTTTTATGAAGGATTAACTCCCCTGGAGATGAAGATGATCGATGCTGTCAGCGGTGGAGCCTTGGTGAATACGACTCCTACTAAGGCTAGGGATTTTATTTCCACAATGGCCGCAAACTCTCAACTATTCTGCGCAAATAATGAACCTCCTCGAAGGGTTCATAAGATAAGTTCATCTTCCTTAGAAAATAAGATAACTGAAGTCGTCATCTCTCTTATTGCAGGAAAGACATGACCAAACAGATCGTGTGGAATATGTACAATAACTAATCATTTGACAGACGGCTTCCCACTGATTCAAGATGATACAATAGCTCAAGTCAATGCAGTCGGAAACTTTCCATGACCTCCCCAAAGATCTTACAATCCCTACGGCAATAGTTACAAGCCAAGATGGAGGGATCATCCGAATTTTAGTTATGCTCAAAACTCAAGGTCAAATCAAGATTATCAAGCGAGATCGCCTCCACCACCCAACAGCCACAAAAGACATCATTAGACTCAATTGTCGATAAGTTAGCACTTTCCCAGGAAAAATTCTAGATTCGTACTAAAGCCCACTTCCAAGAGATAGACAAGCAGATGAGCCAACTAACTCAAACTGTGGGGAGATTAGA